GCTAATTTTGACATATATTTTTCAGACCCGCACCACCGCCGCCTGCACCGCCGGCACTGAAAACCATTGAAGCAACGGCTCCGCTTCAGATACGCGCACCCTCCGAGCTGCTGCTGGGGCTGCCCGCCAACATGCGCACCACCCAGTGGCGCCACACGGCGCAAACTCTTCTTAACGAGCACATCAAATACGAGGTCCAGGTGAGCGCACTTAGCATGCCATATGAGAGCATATTTTGCATGTGTAATGCATCTAGATGCTTGTCTAAAGTGAGAGTATTCGCACTAGCTATACCCTAAGACTATGCGCGCTTGGGCAGTGAAAGGGGCATATTAGTTTTCTTATAAACTTAGCTCACATTGATGCCGCTTCTAACTGGACACTTAACTCACATAAATATTTAAAAAATAAAATAAATATTTAAAATGTCATAGGTTCGCACTACTATATAAAAAGAAGTATATTAATCTGAGAGCATAGGCATTTTATTTATGCCTCGTATTTTCAGTAAGAGTCAAGGAAGCATATTAGTTTTCCTTGTTCATCTCAGAGTTTTATGTATAGTCTGAATGTATCACAAATTGAAGCACCTTTTTAGCACTACTATTCTCTTTGTTCATATATAGACCAGCAGCTGATATTGTTTTCAAATCATATAAAATATCTCAGGCATTTCTAGAAAATATCAGTCACAGACTTAAAGCAAGAAATACCAAGTTTGGCAGATGAAATTGAATTTCTCTAAAGATTGAATAAATTAATTTTAGGGCTTTTCCATTAAGGCGAAAGTTTTTGAGTTTTTTCTGAGCTAGTTATATATATCTACAGTCATAAAATATATATAAAACTCCGCAAGAGATACACTCTAAAGACTTTTAATCTGAAACATGCTCTATCATAACACCAAGATAGAGTATTGCACAGTCGTTAGCAGCCAGCTCCAACTTACTAAGCTCCATTATTTCCTGTTCAGTACCTAGGCTCAACGGTTGTGAAAGAACTGCGTGGCACAGAGTCCACAAAGAAATCAATACAGAAGCTGAAAGCCTCCGGCGATCAGGCAAACCAAGAGCTGCACAAGCAGGGCGCGCCGCTGTCCCTGGCCATTTGCCATCGCGGCGTGGAGTTCATAGATGTGGCCAGCAGAGTAAGTGTAGTGGAATGTACTGAAAGATCAAACCACTAATCCAATTGCTGCTTCCATTAGCGTGTCATCTGCGAGCATGAGATACAGAACATCAACTGCGCCTGCCAGGACGCGGAGGATCTGCGACACTTCGCCTACATAACCAAGGAGCAGGACATGCACTACTGCCATGTGTTTCTAGTGCAGAGCACAGTACGTATTAGTCATAGCTAAGTCTATTAGATGTTGTATTAATCGATCGGTTTCCCATAGGATCTGGCTAGCGAGATTATACTGACGCTGGGCCAGGCCTTCGAGGTGGCCTATCAGCTGGCACTGCGCGACGGCATCGCCACGACGCCAGCTCTGCTGCTTGACAACGGCATGCTGCAGGGCGAATACTGTGGCGGCGGTGGCAGCAAATAGAGCCAGGAGCTGGCCATCGCCCGTAAACCCACGCAGTCTTTGGCCAACAATACCAATCGCAGTCACAGCCGCAGTCGCAGCCTGTGCGCCAAACTATTTTGCCTGACCAACTATGGAGCGTTGTTTAAGCTTTAGTTGGAAATTTCCAATAAGATTTGAAACTAGTCCTTGCGCAGAGAACAACAACAACAACAAGTACATTGAACAGAAAGACTAACACAAAAGGCACAAATTTTATAAATATATATATATAAATAAATATAAATATATATATATGTTTGAATACTCCAAAAATAATCCAGCTAAACTATTTGAGAATCGAACGCACAATATTCCAAAATATCATCATTTGGCAAGAGCAACAAAAAAATATAATAAAAATGCATTTACAACTTTTTAAGTATCTATATAAAAGGCAATTGCATTTAATTATATATATATACATATATATATATATATAAAGTTTTAGCAAATTTTTAGCTATTTATCTAATCCATGAAACGAGCATAAAGTATAAATTTATTAACATACTATTGGCACATAAACAATTTTATTGATGTTAAAAGCTGTAAAATAGTTTCAACAGCGAACTGCTTAAGAAAGCAATGAAAAATTCATATCCAAAAACATAAAATACAAATTGGCTATATACAAGCGATAAATATATACATATATATACTAATCCCTTGAGACACTGCGCGTTGTTATATAATTTTAAATCAATTCACAAAACTCTAATCAAAATGAAATACAACGCATAAAAGTTATAAGCAAATTAGCTTAAAAAACAAAAAATATATGAAAAAAAAATTGAAAATAAAATTAAAACAAATGAAAATTACATTTAATATTTGTGAGACATTTGTTTTTATTTTTGTTATTTTTTTAATTTAAAAAAAATCAAATTTCTTAAACTAGTCTTTGATTTTATTTGAAATTAATTTAAGGCAAAGCCTTGTTGTTATCATTTGTTAAATAAAACATTTTTAGTTAATTTCTCAAGTCTCTATCTATCAATGTGTGCAATGCTTTAAATGTTAGCCTGCTGTATGGTACAACAATGCTCATAAGAAGTACCTATCCATTAAATCATTAAATCATCATGTGAAAAAGTCTACTATAATTAATGTGCATTTGCACCTATATAAACTACATACAAATCGAAGAACTATATACAAACAAACATACAAACAAACACACACACACACACACATACAGCCTAGTGCATAACTAATGAAATTTAATAGCGATCTATGCATAAAAAAATATAGCAAAAAAAATAATAAAATAATAACATGTTTACGAAAAAAAGAAAACAAAAAATCTGTAAACCTGATTTGTCTTCGTCAAATTGCATAAACAAGTTTACCAAACATACTAAGAGAAGAAAAAAAGATTATTTAAATATTGAGCAAATACGCACTTGCATGCCTGCATGCATGCATACATACACATATGTACAACTACAGACAAACCTTATACAAAATTCATACTAAATAAATGCATAATTATGTATGTAATTAAATGAATGCACAATTTGTTTATCATTTAACTTGTTGGATTTGCGCTTGTGTATATGTAGAGTGGCTTTCCCACAGGCCGCGAGCCTAAACGATTGCAGCTTTGCAGCATCAGTTCGCATCTGTGCATCAGAGAACGTAGATCATTTACACAAGTTGGACGTGAGCCGGTTTTGTTGGTTTTTTTTTGTATAAGGCTAAATGCGTTAAGCATTTGATCATACGAATATTAATTGGCAAACACCAAAGCGCAGAGCTATGGCCCCGACAGCGAGACCAACTCCAACTCCCAGCCTCAGTGATTCCCTGGCACACGCACACACGCGCTAATGTTGCCAGCAATATGTTGCCGGCGTGCGTCAAATGTTGCCAAGCAACACGATAGCGAGTGGGAACGAGAGAGCAGCGCTATGGTACTAGCCAGAATGTCGACGCTTGATGCCGCCGCATCCAACGCTTAACGGTTTAAATTATTTCGCGCCTCTTGCATCGTTTGCTAGCGTGCAATTTGTGGCGCACAGCTTATCACAATTTCATTATTACAAGCATTATTATTGGCCATAGTAAATTTGCGGCAGGCCTGGCATTTGGCATTGCCAGCGCTGTGCGTTTATTTGTAATTGAAATTGCGTGACTTTATGCTTCGATTTCGCCATTGCCATTGTTGCCATTCAATGGAAAAGAGAGATAAACTTGCATAAATACATGTCTATACACACACACACCAGCACTGACGTACCTCTGTGTAGGCATGCACGTAAAACTTTCGGGCGAGCTTTCGCTTTGACAGCGAGAACAGCCGCAGCAGCAGCAACAACGACGACCACGACAGCAGTCAAACAAAACAAAAAGCCCAAACACACATGCAGAGCGCTTGCTGAGAAAGCTGTTCGCCTGCTCCAAATGCGAGCAAGCAGCGCAATGTTTGCCCAGCCCTTGCTCACTTACGCGTGCGTGTGTGTGACTGTATTATCGTGTGTACACTTGCTGTCTATTTAAACCAACTGTAAATTAGCAAAGCACTCGGCAGCTGTTTTATGTGTATTGCACATTGCTGCTCGCCTGCTAAAAATTGTACCAAAAAATCGCCGTTCGTCGGTGAAACGCGCTTCTGGCGAGTGCCTGGAAACGCTAGCGATTCGTAATTTAGTTGCCGCAACAAATGCGCAATGTTCCAAGAAAACATTTTATTCTCACCTATTTGTTGCTTGCCTTTTGACTTTGTTGAGAATTGAATCACTTTTAGCACTGATATTTTTCTATTCATTTTACAATAGTAATAAACATTAACTAGGTACAATTTTTCTATGTTGTTATTTTGAAATACATTTTTTTAAGATATTTTTTTTTGATATTTCAGATATAAACAATTTTATATATTTTGTATACATAATAAGTATATATAAAATATATATTTTAGGGCTTAGACCATTTTCTTACTATGTTAAGAATTCAAATTAGCAAAGAATATTTCTACACTACCTTTTCCTTTTAATTTAATTTTATTGTAATAATACAAGTTTTAAAGCTATACTATATATAACAAAATATTTTCAAAATACTTTTTTCTATTAATTTTCTTTTTGAGATATATTTCTTTGTAAACTTTTTTATCATTTAACAGATGTAATATATTCTATACATGTAGGTACAAACATGACATTCTTTATTCTTAATTTTTTCGTGCAATATTTATTGCATTCTTGTTCAGTGTGCATCATGTTCCAGTTAGAGCAACCAATAGAAAGCTTTTCGAAGTCTAACAGACCGCACCTGACCTGCTGTAAGCATATGCCTGTATTAACTGATATTACATTTAATTTACTCTAAAATCACAAATGTGATTTTTTTAAAATACATTTTACATTTGAAATATATTTATATATGTATAATATTTATATTATACTAAAATTTCTTGGTGTCCTTCGGACTTTCTTCAGAATATCGATCTACACTCTAGTTTTAATTTTCAATAATATTTAAATTTAACAGAATTCATCGTATTCTCAACACACTCCTATATCTTTTCCTCTAGTTGAGTTTAGGGAGTACGCAAAATTTAAGGCACTGCTCTCTAGAGAAGAACCTGTTGCCATTGCCGCCGCAGTTGGAGTGAATAAATGTTTGACAATGCTTGTAAGTGGGATTATAATACCACAACCGTCGATGTCCGTTGCATTTGCCATATTGAGGATGCGCTGAGCAAATGCCTGCAGGAAGAGCGAATAAAATTATTCGAAATGCTCTCTGGGAGCAATATGACTTACGATTTCTGAACTCTATCTGCTGTTCCAATGCTGTTCGCTCTGTTGCCGACATCATCAACAGGGCAAAAAAGCAATATAGAGCTGAGGCAATTTTCATTTTCGATCTGATCGAGCCTAATGAAGCACTGTAAGAACAAAATCTGTGCGAGGCTGTTTTATAGCAGCAGCTCAAAATGGAAATCTGTTTTGGTGTACCTACTGTTAATTGGCTTTAAATATATGTAGTTGAGTGACGCGACGTTTGTTCCCTACAATTGATTAGCTTTGCGATGATTTCAATTAGACATTTTACTAAGTATAGTTTGATACTCTCCTAAACTTAACTAAGAACTTTGTAAGTATTTTCTATATTTAGTTTTAGGTTATTTATGTGAGCAGATGATAGAAGGCTTCATCTCTGCTATGCCAACTCCCTGATCCCCTACGCAAATATAAGCAATATGACCTCACTTAATTAAACATTTTCTGTGTGGCTAATCAATGACGTTTACTTGTAATAGACTCCCTGTTGCTAATCATGCAATTAATAATACTTCGTTGAAACATATTTTTACAATCTCAATTCTAGGTCTACTGCTTGATTCAAAATAATCTTTCAATCTTTAGATCGTTGTTATCGTAGCACAAACTGCTCTGATTGATCATAATATATATATTGAAAAATCCAACATTTAAATTTATATTTTTATTGATTTTTAGTTATCGATTTATAGTTATTTATTTACTGCTTTCTTTCAGGGCAACTTGATATTTCTGTTGCATCCAGGCTAACTAGGAGCACTCGATCGTTGCACAGGCTAAGACGCACGACGGATAACTAATTGTAAGACGCTACGTACGCCTCTCTAAATTCCTTTTTCCCATAGTCAAATTTTAACTTTCAGATCAAAGTCGGCAACCCACAAGCGCAGCCCAGGCGCCACCCAAGATTACGAGCTGTGTTTATTTGATGCTTTCAAGAGAGAAAAAACGAATGATTGATATATCAGTTTTTCGCAGTGTGTACTCTAGCAGGGCACTTACGACTAGAGCACTCTTATTCGTTTATTTTATTTAATAATAATTAAATAATAATTAATAATAATTAAATATTCGTCAACCTGCACGGCCAATATCTGTTTTCAGCCACTCGCTGACTTTTTCGGTGCAAAATATATCGCATTCATCTTTGGTATAGAAACGATTTTGATTTCCGCCGCAATTCGAGTATTTGAACTTCTCGCACTTGGACTTGTACTTGTTGAAGAACCAAAGTTGACGATTTCCTTGGCATTTTCCATAGTCTGGCTTCGTGTAGCAAATGGCTGCAAGACGCAAAAAGTTAGCTACAAAATTCCATTAAATATTAATTCAATCAGACGTACCTTTGTTGATTTTGTCAAAATGAGATTTTTGTACATTATAATTATAATAGGCATCATCGTCAACGTGCTGGACCAAAGCCAAGTCCGCCAATATCAGAAGCAACGCCAGAGCAATTATGCACTTCATATTGTGTAACTCAATCCAGAAAGTAAACTGAACTTCTTAAAATGATCGACTTCTATTTATAGTACAAACCGTAACGAACTAACAACTGTTTTGCTATGAAGCAGCCGAATAGAACCAATTGTTTTCGAAAGATATGGGGCGCTATCGAAAGCCAAGTGTTTAACACGTCATGCAATTGCTCAATCTGTAATCAGGGGCCAAAATTATACGACCGGTTGGCCAGTTAGTTAGCAAGCGAATTCAATTAAATTTCTCAATAAATTATAAGTGCAGAAAAAAACTTAACTCAACTCAATGCGGCTCGGCCTGGCTAGACTTGGCCTGGCTTGTGTTGGCTTGGCTCTGCTGCATACTTAGATGCATATGAGTCTAAATTGTGAACTGGTCCAGTGTGCGTTTAAACCGGTACTTAGTACACAAAACGAGATTACGCAACCGCGAGCGAAGATCACATGCCATCGCGCATACGCCGAGTTGTACGTCTGAGCATTGGGACATGCTCTTCTCTCATAACGCAAACGAAATCGCAAGCATCGGAAAATCGAAATTCTAGATCAAGGCCAGCGCACAAATGCATACACATATATATATCTAAATATCTCTCTCTGATGTCGACTGCTGACACACGCAATGCATGCGTTAAATAACTTGAAACTAGTTTGTCCATGGAAGGAGGATGCTTGGTATTAGTGCTGCGGCCTGCTGGCCAAACGCGCACACAAACTGGGTCAAAAGGAAGCACGGCCACTGCGACTGCGCTTGCAATAAATTGCAGCAATTGAAATGAATTTTGTCATTCGACAATTTGCATTTGTAAATAACAAGAGAAAACACTTAGCGCCACTTACGCGTCTGACAGGGCCCCAAATACTCCCATGGTCCGGGGCCACCACCAAGCCCAATTGCACAGTCAAATACATTATCACAGTTTACGATTGCCAATGTGTCATTGATCAGACGTTTATTTATAACAAACCGAACCTGAAGGCTGCACAAAAGTGCTGAAAAAGAATGAAAATAAATAAATAAAAGTTATGCAAAGCCAAAAACAAAATTTATTGAAAATCTGATTGAAAACTAGAAACAATAAGAGTTCGAAAATTTGCAATTTATCAAGTTTCAAATATTAACAATATAAAGAAATTAAAATATAAAATATTTAAAAAATAATAAATTAAAAAATTTAGTAATATATATATAAATATAAATTATTATAAATTAAGTTATTGAAATTATCTTAATAAATTAATTATTTTAATAAGTAAGATTATTTAAAATATAAATATTTAATAGTATAAAGTCTCTAGCATTCCGTTTAAGAAATGCTTTAAGTATTGATATAAATTTTCATCTATTTAAAAAATGTAAGGAGTAGCCGACTAAAAAGTACCTTGTCTATATTTTAAATTGCAGCTCTCTACATTTTATAATTTTCGAGATCATTGGCTTCATGCAGAGGCATAGTCGAGCCAATCATCAGCTCAGCTGCTCTTCATCAACATTAATTTCTTTACACCATAATTTAAAAATTTCAATTCATTTAATTTCAAATAAAAATATCAATTTGTTATTTATTGAAAGTATTTTGACATTTCAAAATACATTTTCAAATTATTTATATAAAATAAATTGAAACCTTAAGTCTAATTGAAGCATTGCCTTTGGTCTAATAAAACAAAAGTAAAGAGATTATAATATAAGTCCATAAAGCTGCCCAGCTCTGGGCTATAAGTCAATTCGCTATGGACAAATGCATTTGCATAAATATATATATATATATATATATATATATATATATATATAAATATATATATGTATATAATATATATATATCCGTAGAGGAGGTGATTGTGAGGCCGCGGGACTTGTGCGCTAGTTGAGCTATTAAACAAAATTAGCGAACATAATTCTATTAATTTAAATGTTGCATTTTATGTGCTGGCAAATTAGTTTTCAGGCCTTTTACGATTACGGCTATTAGCCAAAGCGTTAGGGCCATTTATCGATTGCATGGAGCGTGTCAAGGCTAAGCTAGATAACGAAATCTTGTGCCCTGTCAAGTCTGATGACAAATGCCATGCCACAAGTTGGCCAGGCAGTTAATAAACATATTCATATCTGGCGATTTGACGCTTTTGGCCAATGCACGCAAATGAATCGGATGCTGGGATTGTGCAATTATGGCTAATAAAAATGTTTATGGCCGATGCCCATTGGCCGATGACTTCTGCTGGAGCGATATGAATCACCATAAATCTAAGTGCGGTATAAATATTTATCGTGATTTTATAGGAGGAAGACAACAACCAGCCAAACTTGCATGCAATAACGGCATCGCCGATTTGGCATGCGTGAGAATCGCATGCAGTCCAAGCTGACCAAACTGACCAATGTCCAACATCCAACTTCCAACATCCAATATCTAATGTCCATTGAGCACATTTTCTCCTTCTTTTTAATGGCAGGCAAATTGTGCACATGGCTGGCCCGTGATTCGAATGGCGCAGATAAAAAAAGGTCGCGCGGTCTTAGAAAGTGGGTTAATTAGCAGCCAAAGCTGATGTGAATATATTTATGCATGTATGTATATACATATATATATATGTATGTATATATGTATATAAATTCGCACAATGCACTGCTATATTGCTCCAATAAAACATAACGCATTGGAATGCCCAAAAAGTTGACCTCAAATGGAGAGTCGCTGCTCCAACTGTCCAGCTAAAGTGGAGCCGGAGCTTGAGGATGAGGCTTCTGCTGAGGCCGAGGCTGGGGCTGCTCGCGCACACGTCACGGTTAATTGGGCATTCAAATGTCAAGTTCAATTTTGGGCTACATTAGCGTTACCTATAAAAGGGCCGTTCTCGCTGCGCTGCATAAAATGAGATTTATTGTTGCATTTTGCTGGCTGCATAAATTGTTTTTCTTCTTTTTCTTGCAGGCACTCGCGTCTGGTGGCAATGGTCCACTGATCATCTGGCCAAGACAATTGGCCAGAGACCCAACGTCGTTGCCCGTTGAGCTCGCCCAATCGTTTGGCATTTGGACTTTTGAATAATTTGGGCAGTCCCAAAAGCGTATCAATTCGAATATCATTATTAGCCCAGCCCGCAGCTAAACCATCATGAAGAACCACACAGCCAGATTGTCAATGCCGCCCAAACGCCTAATGCAATCTTGAATATTATTTATGACATTGATACGCGGCTTCCGATTTGGTTCTTAGGCCAAAAACGAGCTCAAGCTAAACAGCTTTTATTGCAATGACCACTTGGTACTGCTTTTCGCTTATCGGTGCTAAAATGCAAAACCTACAATTAGCTCACGGCGATAGCACAACTATACCCTGTACTAAAGAGCAGACGGCAGGTGTACCCGACTATAAGAGACACATAGGACAGGCTGAATATGAAATCATTCTAAAGAACTAAGCAAGAATGGGTATGAAATACTGAGAGGGAGTTGACAAGAATAGAGTGAGAATGAGAGCTAGAGAAGTTTCTCTTTCTCTTGCTCTGTTCTTCTATCTTAAGAGAAGATGCCTCTTGCCTCTCACTCTATTCTTATAGGTCTCGCTGAAGATGGATCAAGGCATTGTGGGAGCAAATGAAGATCACTTTTTCTCTTTCTTCCCCCTCTATTTCTCTATCTCATTCTGCCTCTCCCTCTCTCTCTCTCTCTCTATTTTATATTCAATTTTGACAAATTTATAATAATGGGCAGAGTTAATGTTCTTCTCCTGGTTCCTCCTCTGATTCCTCACGTGCTCTTTAGTATATATCTTCTTTTCCCTTTTTCTTTATTCCACTTTTACTTCCTCTCTACCTGTCTACCTGTCTCCCTCTTTATGCCACTCTTTCCTTATCCTATATTTCTCTATCATCTCTTCCAACCCCTTTTTTCTTTCTTTGTTCTAAATTTCTTTCTCTACGTTCTGCTTTCTTCACTGCCCTTTCTTCTCTGTTTTTCTCCTCTCTTCTCTCTTCACTCTTCTTTGTCTCTCTTTTAACTTTTTCCTTCTCTATCTCTCTCCTCTATCTCTCTTCTCTAGCCTCTCTTCTATCGCCTGCTTTTCATCATCTTGCTTCTCTCCTTTCTGTTTCTGTTCTCCAGGCTCTCTGCTTTCTCTCTTCCTTTGCCTCTTCCACCATCTCTGTATATTCTCGACTCTTTTCTCTTCTCCATTTCTTTCGCTTTCTATCCCTACCATTCTCTCTCTTTCTCTCTCTCTCAATGTTATTCTCTCTTTTTCTCTTTATCTGTTTGTATAGCTCTCTCTCAGTCTCCGTCTCTCCTTCTTCATTTTATAACCTTTTATTTTTCTCTCTCTCTCTCTATCTTCGAAATGTATCTGTATCTTTCTCTTGCTCCCTCTGGCTTTTTCTGTGCATCTCTGCATATCTCTCTCTCTCTCTCTCTCTCTCTCTCTCTCTATATCCTTTCCATGCAATTCTCATTGCATCTCAGCAAGTAGGGAAGCAAAGTAGGTTAGCTTCATTGTATTTTTCTTATATATTCAGATTTAACAGGGTATCTGCTTTACGCTCTCTCTAGTCACTCCCGTTTAATATATATTTAAGTATCAATAAAGTAATAACAGCTTTACAAATATCTTAAGTGCACCCGATGCAAAGCCACAACAGGGGCACCAAATGTTGGGCAATGCGCAGTTGCTGCTGCTGCTGCGGCTGCTGTTGTTGTTGTTGTTGCTGGTGCGATTTCTGGTGGCATAAATCAACGATTGGAAAATTAAAAGCAATAAATTTGCAATTAATTTTTAATTTGCGCAAATTGATTAACATCAGCACGCTGCAAATGCCAAATAAAAAATAATATAAAATAAATCAAAGCTAGTTGAAAATTTGATAAGCCGATCAAATTTAGCCAAGTTTAACTATTTTTTTTCTTTTGCTATTTCCGTTAGTATCATAAGTGGCTCGTTGATTCGATAAAAGTTTTTAGAAACTTCAGCAGCGCCTCAAGCCTTTTCCCAAGTTGAAGAAAGGAAATCTTTTTGCCGTCAACAATAAGTGCTAAGCAAATTCGTCTGGCTAAAGAGTTTGGCC